GCCGGGCAAAGTGCTGGTTTGCTTAGGCCGTCCAGCCGTCTTGTCAGATGTTAAATAACTTAACATTTGTCTTAATTAAAGCTCTCTGGGTATCCCAACAACTAATTACTGAGTAGAGAGAATGCAGAAGCCTTTTGATGCTAACATGCAGTTCAGTTTATGGCTGTTCTGTATTATTAATCTACGCATTTTGTATTTATTTAGTTAAGGAAATACGAATACCACGTGGTAAATGAGGCGAAGGAAATTGTCACATTTATAAATGTACAAAATCAACGAAGATGAAAACAATGATCGAAGGACTGTGGAACAGTACACACAGGATGGCAGTGTATGAGTAACAAACTGTCCTGTCAATTTTAACTCTAAATCCACTAGCTTTGTAAGCACCTAGAATTTTAGATGGATTGTTTTGGCACGATATGTATATGTTTTTCAACTTACGATGGCTACTCCTGATAAAACTATCTTAAGTTAAAAATGTAAGTCAAAAGTGCACTCACTACCCCGACTGAACATCGTAGCTTAGCCTAGCTAACCTTAAACGTGCACGCTTACATTAATTTACAGCTGGGCAAAATCATCTAACACTAAGCTAACTTACTGTAGTGTGGAATAGCTCATGTAATTTATTGAACACTGTATGGAAACTGAAAAACAATTTTTTTTAATATAAGTTAACCCATTTATTATAGGCTAGTGATATTCCAAATGTCTGTGGAGATTCTGGTCTTTCAGTTCCTTCAGTCTTCTGATGGCAGACCTTACTCTGATAGGCAAAGTGGTACTGTAGGTCCAGGCACCACCAGCTACTATTTTCATGCAGGAACCATAGTACCAGGTACCCACAGCCCGTCTCTTCATCTTGGTTTTGTCTCAGAAGGAGCAGGTGTATGTGGCGTGCTGGCTGATTTCAGTTTTCTTTGCCATTTTCCAGAGGGAGGCACCATAGCTGGTCCATATTTACCGATGATGCTAACCTTCTTGGTGCGTTTAGCTGTATCACTGCCAACTAGGTTCCAGCCCAGAGAGCATATTATTATTACTTAATTTGACCAGAGAGAGACAGAGAGAGAGAAGGAAAGTGAGTAAATGAGTCACCAGATCTAGGACTTGAACTGAGGTTGGCCATGTGGGAGTCCAGCACCTTAACTACCATGCCACCTGCCAGCACCCCTACAGGGTGTTTTAAGCCCCAATGTAGGGGCTAGGAACACAGGTCCCCGGATTGATAAAATGCTGAAGTTTAATCATATCTCTAATACTTACTACCTCAGTGATCTTGTTAACAGATGGGAAAGTGTCGAACTGCTGCATTGTGAAGTCCTTGGTTCTTGGGGTCCAGATCACTAAAATTAGAGATCTGTCCCTACGCACAAAATGAAACTGCAACCATGAATAAAGTAGGTAGAAAAGAAGATTTAATCGAAAGGAAAGAAAGGAAGTACACCCAGAAAGGATCTTGGGCGGGCAGATTGCCAAGTGGCAACCGCACTTGGTACTAGTTAACTTATTTTTATTACTAGATGTCATGAATATTCATTAGTGGGAGGCCCCTTA